TTTAGAGCAGGTGTTACTTGCATTTTGAAGCAATCGCTCTGGCTGTTGGGTGAGGAATTGGCTATGGAAACAAGAGACCAGTGAATGAGTCTATCACAACAATCCCAGTCACTGATTGCCTTTGCTTGGGCTTGGAGGCTAGCTCCAGTGGGGGAGGCAGTGAAAATGGCTGGCTTTGGAAGGAAGGCTTCTGAAGGAAGACCCCAGGATTTGCTGATAAATAGGATATGGATTCTAAGAAAAAGCTATTAAGGTTGATGCCAAGGCTGCTGGCCTGATCTTTGGGAGAATGCAACTGCCAATTATTTTCTCTTCCCCCATGTTCAGAGTTAATCACCTGGTTTGACAAGCACGTGGCTTCTTGCCAAAACAGAAACAAAAACACGTGAAGCGAGGACTTGACCCAGACGTGAAAAGCACTGGTTTACTTGCCTTGTATTCCATTTATTGCTAGTTTTATTTGAACAGCCTGAATTTCCTCTCTGATAACGTCTTTAAATAAGATGCCACTTTAATCAGTAGTAACTAACTCTGCCTACTAGTAGATCAAAGAACCACAAAGAGGGGTGACGGGCAGGGAGAGAAGTGATAGGAGTGGTATTTATAAGTCTGTCCAAGAATGTATGTTCAGGGTTCTCTTGATGAGTAACCGAAAAGCAAGAAGGGCTGAGGCTGGAGATCAAAGGAAAAAAGACTTCATTTGAATCTCTTACATTTTAGTAACCTTCAGTAACTCCATTCAGCTTTTCTGTCACGAACTCTCAACAGTACATGGCTGGAGGAGGAGGGTCCGGGGGGTGGGATAAATGGTAAAAATGACTCGAACAGTGATCGGACAGCTGAAGTTCCAGATAATCAGGGATAGCCACTTTTAGGTAATAGCTTAACTGCATGTCCTTTAGATACCAAACCTCTCCCAAAGGTATAAAAAGAGAAGCAAAGTTAACTGAAACAAGTTTTCTGACCTGTCCAGTCCCTGATGAAGCCCTGAGCCAGCTTGCTAGCCCTTTGCCAGGCAGCAGGGGAACTGAGTAAGGAAGAACCTACCAGCAGGATGCTTAGTCCCTGAGGAGAAAAAGGGGGAATTCAAAAGGACTTCAGAAAAAGGAAGTCATTTTTGAATTCCCCTTTTTCTGAGCTTATTTAGACAACCGAGGCTGAATCACATTTCTTGGCACAAAGCAAACTCCTCCCCAGAGAAGGTAGAACTGCCAGGGGTTAGAACACAGGACAGGAATGTTTATGACTTACTCCTGAATGTTGCTCATTCACAAAGGCCACTCCCCAGACCACAGTGGGAGCTGGGAACAAAGTCCTATGTGGGTTTGAAGGATGAAAGGTGTAAGTGACAATGGCAGGCAAAGTCCCAGAGTCTGATCGGCGCACATAATGCTCTATTCCCATTGGTAGCCAATGGCCTTGGCAGCTCTGAGTAACTACACTTACAAGAGACTCCAAGAAAGGTGAGGCAGGGAGGCCACCGGAATGGAAACATTCCAACATTTCTGGTGCAGGGCACTGGGAGATGCTAATGTTCCAGGCCTCGGTCTTCTTGCCTAGAATTGATCCTCACCTCATCTGCCACACAGCGGGTACTCTGAAGATCAAATAAGATCCTGCACAAGTCCGAAAAGCATAAAGCACTCCGCAAACCTAACAGTTCATTTTTCTGAGGAAAATGTGAACAGCCAATGCTTTCTCTGGTTTCTGACCCCATGAGTCATTTTCATATTGCATTTGGGGGTTGCTTAGGTGAGAAACAATACAGAGGAGCAAGCTGTGATGCAGCCAAACTCTGTGAAGTAGCAATTACTTCAAATTCTTTGGCCACTGACTGCGTCGAACATCCACACCCCCAACCAAACCACAAAGCAACAACATCCAAAGGCTTCTGGAAAAGGACAGACACTGCTTTTCAAATCTAGAAAACTCAGTGGAAGAGCTGAGTTACCCTAGTTTCCTTCCAGGTCCTTTCACTTGGATACATGGTTTCTATCAAGGTCCTTGTTAGAATAAACTTCCACCCTAAGATACTCATTTGGAGGTCCTACCCAGTTTATTAATCATTCGGTAAACTCTACTCACTGTGGAGAGGTGTAATAAAGCAAAGAAGGCCCCAAACTCTGAAAGCTGACGTATTATCACACGTATATAATGCATGACGGTAGAGTCACGCTGTCTCCATAAAGGGAGACTGTCTCCTAGGCCGGAAGCAGAAAGGGCCATCCTGGCAGGTGCCAGCATGAGACACAACAAACAACCTGGCACGCTCTTTAGATGTGTTGAATTAGGTCTTCTTGCACAACGGGCCAGCTGGTCATCATAAATAAGGGTGAGAGGGGGCGTGCAGGAGGCTGAACTGAAGAGTCTCCTGGTGGCCCGGAAAAGGAGCCCTGGACAAAACCCTTTCCACTCCTGGGGCAACGGGCAGCGGAGCACATCAAATTCCTCAGCCACCTCCCCTTCTTATTGTACACTTACCTGGTCATTAAATTCCGGGTTCCCAAGTGATCTGTTTATGGCGAAAGTATGCTGGGTCATGCGACCAAGGCCCTCTGGTCCCCATAAGAGGTCTATTTTTTTTATAGTAAATGCATAGAACAGCACTCTTGTTTATATATCAGTTTCCTAAAGGATTAGCTAGAGTGAGTCTGTGCCTGAAAGACTCATCCATTCTTGGGTATCTGAGGCCATAGGCTAAATTCCAGACGGATGAAGTGGCTCCATCATGAGCAGGACTGCTGGTGCTACCATAGGGACGTCAGCTGTGAGGACTCCCGGCTGCCTCGTGGCTGACTTTCTGTCAGAGACTCGCCAGTGACAGGATGCCCTCTTCAAACCACTTGAATTAGTGGAATAGATACAGTATACCTTATTTACTATTCTTGACACTGCATATTAGAAAGCACTTTAAAAGTTGCCTCTAAATATGAGAGCAATAACCACGTGCTGAACGTTTACCGTCTTCAGTGCAAGTATTTTATATCTCAGTGTATTATTTCACTAGAGCCTCACTGCGACCTATGAGTCGCAGCTAAGCACAATCATTCCTATTTTATAAAGACACTACTGAGGCTCAGAAAGTTTAAGTAGCTCGTACAAGGCCACACACAGAGCATGTGGTGGGGTTAGGGTTGGAAAGCGGGTCTACGTTACATCGAGCACACCTTCTGCTACTAACAATGACTAGATCTCTTTCTTGCTTATTTCTTTGGGATCCATTTCACGGAACCAAAGACTAAGTTATGTAATGCTCTTTCTGTCTTTGTGCCCATGTGCCCAGGAGCTCTGCTTTCTCTCTCCATGGCACCACTGGAGGTACACAAGCAGATCCGGAATTTGGCCCTGCCCTGGCAGGGGCTCATGGGATTGAAGCTCAGCTTTACACCAGCTCACGTTACTAACTCTTTCCTTATACCACTCATCCTGTCCTGATTGTCTGCTGTAGTCCGGGCTATTTTTGGCCTTTATTTTTTCGCATGAACGCATATAATGCCATGGTAACCAAATTATATTTTCATTTATTCTCATTCCATTTTAGCATTAGTATTTAAATAACCCAGTTGAATCTGAATCTAATTATCTTATCCTTTTAACTACTGATTTAACCCCCCACATCCCCAATATCAGTGTTTAATTTCCTGTTTTAGCTTCTAACTGGCAATCTACTAAAGATGTGCTTTGGGATTATTGTATATTCATTCTCCTTTGGGTTTCAGAGAACACTGCTTGTAATTTCTAGTTGAGACAAGCACCATACTGTTAAGTCTGTCAGCTATACCAGCTTTCCTTTCCTATCCCCCAAATGCAAATCCACTGATAAAGGGGGCCGCAAGACAACAGGAAGGAAAGCAATATTCTAGCAACCCACCCATTTTTCCTCAGTTTTCTAAGAACTGGGAGGAGAGAAACATAGCGAAGCAACTGTGTTTCATGTTCCTGGGCTAACATTTAGGGACATACAGAGGGCAGACGTGTCCAGTCGCTGTCATAAGCAGGGGTGAGAGGATTATTTTTTATTTTCTGTATCAATGCATCCTATCTTAGTGAAATAATTCCACATTGACAGATCCTTGAGAGGTTCCCAATATTCCGCTACTACCAACTACGCTGTCATAATAATGACAGCAGACACTCATCTAAGGCTTTATACTCCATGTATCAGACACCGTTCCGAGTGCATTGTAGAGAGTATCTCATTTAACTGTCACAAAGCCGTCTGAGGTCTGCACCACTGTTACTATTTCCACTTTAAGGAGGAAACTGAAGCTAAGTAATTTGCGCTGGGTTACAAACAAACCTATTGAGAGCTAGAGCTGAGATTTGAACCTAGGCCAGCACCAGAGACCCTGCTCTTTGTTCCTAAATATTATTACCTGCTAATGCTTAGGTGGGCAAGTCTCATGGAACCTCAAGGAACTCAGGCTACATAAGTATAAAGTATGTCCATCCATTAGAGGAAGACCGACACTGACCCCAGCCCCCAGCCCACTGCAGTCTCCCCACACCCGGAACAAGGCTGGATATGTGTGACATGCTCGGGAAAGATTCAGTGATTAAATAAATACATGAATGAATGGTTCCTCTTAAATGGAATCAAGAATAATGCCGTTATTTGATGCTATCCATTCTGATGGGGGCATTCATCCTCTAGAAGGACAATGTCAATGAGTAAGGGGGCATCTTACTTTAAACCTTAAATCACAGTTTGAAAAGTTGCCTCACTATGACTTTACACAAAGGGTGCTGTTGATGCCTATGGTCAAAGGCTCTTTCAGCATTGCTAGTACCTTCATGTGCCTGGGGGCAACTAGGTTTCAGGTGAAGGGAAATCATTCCTTCTCTTTATGTGTAAAAGCACTGTAATTATCTAAGTTGCTTAAAGCCAGTGAAAAGTGGACAATAAATATTTCAAAAGCAGATGTAATAGCGTAAGCGACTCCTCTAGCACCAGTGGACGAAAAGGGTGTACATAACAAACAGAAAGGGTACATATCCACCTGCTCTGAGAAAAACCGGAAGCCTTTGTCCTCGCGGATACACTCATAGGTTTCTCCAAGAACAGGATTGAAGGGCTTGCTCCCAGCTCGGAAATAGCTAGATGCATATGCTGATACAGCAAAGGCTGCCACGTACACCTGAGGAGAAGGAAGAAAGAACTTTATTATTTCTTGGTCTCCAAGAAATCGTTTTACAAACACAGGAACAAAATAAAACCTTTATTTCTCTCTTTATGGTTTGTTTTGGAAAGCCAACAATTTGTCTCTGGTTTAGAGACCACCAAACCAACTTTGGCTTAAAGTTGCAGGTTTAAATAATGTCCATCTTGGCCCAGAGACCAGTGAACCAAACATTTTCAAACTGTCCGTCTGTTCTGATGCCTAAAAAGAGGCTTTCAAGAGGATATTTATCAAGGGATCTACCCTGTTTTTGAGCTGTTAAGTTCAGTACCTCTAAACCTGACAAAATCTGAGAATCCTGATTTTCAGGAAGGAGAAAGAAGAAGAGCATAAAAAAAGCCAAACTTCCCCAAATCCAGGAACAAGCAACCCTTCCTACTTTGATACTGTAGAAACCTACAAACTCATTTTGACAAAAGAAAATCTGTGATAGTAATTCCCTGTCTGGGTAACAAGTCCCAGGACAGGGCACAGTGCCTTTAAAAGTGTCTTGCTTTCTGTAAGGAAAAATGAAAAATCATAAAGGAAGGAAAAAACTGTAGGTAAACATGAAATAAGCACTCACTGTGAGGCTGTCACCATCAAGTTCTCCTTTTGGGGCACCAAGGAGATGCGTTATTCTTTTTGCCTTTTTTGGCGAGGGGTGGGGTGCAGAAATTGAACCTAGTTAACAATCTCAATGTTTCCTCTTCCCAGCACATTTCATGAGGTTTCTTATATTGTGTGTTGGGGGGGGGGGGGAGGAAGCTGAGTGTCTTTCACTAGTCATATAACTTTTCTTAAGCCTTCTGCAATAGGACCCACCTTAACCACTCACACTATAGAATACTGCAGAACATCTGGTTAGCTTATAAAAACTCAGTTCAGGAGGCTCAATTCTGTCTTTGTTCTCAAAGTCCGGGTATCTGCTCTTCTCTTTGCTTCCCCATATGTGTTCTACTGGCTGAAGAAAGTTCACACTGCCTCTCTGGAATGTTGGATCGACCCTGAATCACCTTCACAATTTAAAATGTAACAACAGGGGCGCCTGGGTGGCGCAGTCGGTTAAGCGTCCGACTTCAGCCAGGTCACGATCTCGCGGTCCGTGAGTTCGAGCCCCGCGTCAGGCTCTGGGCTGATGGCTCGGAGCCTGGAGCCTGTTTCCGATTCTGTGTCTCCCTCTCTCTCTGCCCCTCCCCCGTTCATGCTCTGTCTCTCTCTGTCCCAAAAATAAAACGTTGAAAAAAAATAAATAAAAAATAAATAAATAAAATGTAACAACATTTATGACAGAACCTGGTGTCATCCATAATGCTGGGTCGGGGGAGAAGTGAGGGAGGGAACAGACACAATGAAGCATCCTCCTTTGAGGCAACATGAGGGAGAATCTATTCAGGGGCATGAGCTGACCTGCAGGGCAGTAAACAACCCAGGGACGGGGTTGCTGCACAATGCCTTCCTGCACTTTCCCTTCCAGATGCATTGTACTTGAATGCAAAGCCTTCCCTCAAACTCCTTCTCAAGGTCAATTCCACCAATCAATCAGCTGACATCCTAAGGGGCTCTCAATCACCACAAGAATGAAACACCTTGAAGAATATTTTCATCTTCAAAGCCAATCTTTTCTTTAAAGAAAAGAGCTGTCCACAAATGTTGACTTTTCACACTTGCTTTAGAAGCTACTTGCCTCCCTTTGTTCAGCAGAAATTCTCTGGGAAAGGGTAACAAAGAAGATAAAACACACACACACACACACACACACACACACACACACAGCTTGTTTTTTTCTCTCTTGCTCTTATTATCATTAGGATCAAGAAAGTCTCTTTGATGGAGAAGTCCCTGGAGACTGTGGACCTACAGCGGGATGTCTCTTTCATCCATAGTTAGATTTCCCCTTCATCTTCAAATCACTAAAATAATGAAGTTTTAATGAGGGTCAAAACTAGGGACTGCTTAGAATTTAGAAAAGAATGGTGTCCTCCATCAGTGAGAGGATGACTTAGGGTTAGGTCCATGAAGCCCAGGGGGTGTGCAGACTCCAATATGGCCCATCAGTAAACTCCCAGGACAGAGACTCTGCATTTGGGGGAAGACACTGAAGTCCCAGCCTCCCATCCAAACAATGACCTTCCTTCCTATGGAGCAGGTAACATATGAGGGAGCAAAAAGAGGGAAGAATACTCATTTTCAAAGAACAAATTCAGCTCGTCACAGAAAGGGCTGATTTGGCCATCATCTTATAACCATGGTCCCCTTATCTCCACCCCATAAGACAGGAGAAGGATGAGAATCACACCACTAAGTGTTTCTAGGCTCTAAGTAGAGCTTTAAAAAAAAAACAAAAACTTACTCTACAGAATACGAGTGGGGGTGGAACAATAATCTTTCTTACGTAAAAACCTCGAATGTTATTTTTCAAAAATCTAGTTGCTAGTGGGACAACTCCCAAAATAAAAACATTCTCAAGGGAAATTTACCCTGGAAAAGAAAAACAGCACAAGAAATTAAATTCTGTCCACCCGGGATAGTAAAAATAAACACGCAGACAGCCCTCAAGACAATGTTTTACAGCCAGGCATAACAGAACCATCACTTGGAAGGTTCTGGAGAAAAAGGAAGCGTAAAACCACAGAGCAGAACTACCCACAGGCACCAACTGTCACAGAGAAGCTCCCCCACATGGCAAATCCTATCGAGGTGACGGAAAATAACCAGGCACAGGGGAACTAGATGTTGGTGAGAAATGAACCCATTTCAAGGATAATCCAAACGAAAACCAGAGGAGCCGGGGAGCTCTGACCCTGCCCGTCTTAGCTGTGCCGGGCCCCCCTCGAGGGGCCGGGTGACTCCGGAGCAGGGGCCAGACAGCACAGCCGGAAGAGTGACTCCTCACCATCCTTTCCAAGGCGCTGGGGACTTGTGCGGCCTTGTCCAGAAGCTCGCTGTACTCCAGCTCCTCGCAGAGCCGCTGCAGGGTGTTCAGCGGCTCGTTCAGCTCCACCGGCATGGCCACCTTGGACAGGTCCTTCCCTATGTTGTTCCTCAGGATGTTCCACAGGCTGATGTTACTGGCGTTGGGACACGGAGCTGGCAAGCAACTTCTTCTTTTGGACTTTGCGTCCCCACCGCTTTCAAGCACAGGCCCTGAAAGGGACATCAGCCTCACTGTCTCTAGAAGACTTTTCATTTTATTATTTAGGTAAAATCAAACAAACTAACAAACAAAAAAATGAAACCGTGAATAAAACCTGACCCGGCAAGTACTCGTTTACTATTAATCTCAGTTATCTGGAATATGACCGAACGTCAGAAAATAAAAAGAATTCTGCACGGCTAAATGAAGTACCCAAAATTACACGCACTAAAACTCACGGAGTTTATTCGCAAGGGAAGTCTTCAAGTTCCTGCTCAGACGTTAGTGACTCACCACTTATATACACTTATGATAAAACTGGAAACTAGATTTCTATGCTCACAGCAGTTTACTATTTATACCTTTAAACTCTTTAAATTTTTAAAAAGCACTTGAAACCCTGCTTAACAACACTTTTAAGCTCTTTTTAAAAAATCACGTCCAATTCTGATAAAAAACAATTGTGCTTACTACAGAAAAATGATAAGGGAAATAACAGTCGTCCATTATCCCACTACCTGCATATAATAGCTGTTTATGTTTTGGAGTGTTTTCATGTAGCATTTTCTCCATCCATATAGCTCATATAGCACGTCTAGTTTTATGTTCTGCTTATTAACGTAACTATTTCTCCATGCTATTCAAAATTCTTCCAAAATATCATTTGTAATGACTGTAAAAAAAAAATTCCATGCTATAGATATGCCATAATCGACTGAATCATTCATCTACTGTTGGACTTTCAGATTTGTTTCAGTGTTTTGCTATGATGCAAAAAAAAAAAAAGTATTCAATATTTATATTCTTGATATTTGATTATATCTCTGAGTATTTGCTTAGGATATATAGACATGGAATTACTATGTCAAAGACTATAAACATTTTTAGACATTTGATTCAGATGATCAGATGGCTCCTCAAAAAAGGTACATTGATTTCCCATTTATCAACAGCATATGTGTATCTATCTCCTGAGGCCTTTTCAGGCTTGTCATCATTCATGTTGAATTTTTGGCAAATTGTTGGGTGGACGGTGTTATTTCCTTGCTTTAACTTGCATTAAAAAATTCCTAGTAATTCTTTCATGAATATTTCTTCTTTTCTGAATCATCTGTTTTCCTATGTACATATTAAGGCATAAATTTTTTGTTTTTATATTTGTTTTACAATCAAATCCCCATTTGACACTGATCTTTAAATTTGGTCCATGTGGTTAGCTGACACATAAAACATTTACACTTTAGGTATTTACATCTATCAATCTTTTCCTCTGTAACAACTTCCATTGACTCAGGCTCTGAAATTCTTCTCCCATCCCAGCTGAGCCTATTTTTGAATAAAATCTTTTGCATTACACCAACACATGAGAAACAGGCATTTTATTTCTACATATTTATTTATTTAAAATGTTTAACATTTACTCATTATAAAGCCAATCACTCTGAATAAAGAGGCTGCTTTGAGGAACAGAAAAGTATGAAACTGGGGTCACACTTTATAGTCTCATGTTAATCTAAGCATCCAATTAATTGTTGAATTGGTGTAAGCAAAAGTCTGATTTACCCAAGTAAACAGCTGCAAATGATGGTAGTTTTTAAAAACAGTTTTCCATGTAATCTCAAAATAGTTTCTTTGATTCTGCTAATCCAGATTTTGAAACAACACTAGATGAGTGACTACTACCAATGAATGAATAATACCTATCTAGCAAGTCTTCAAGCATTTTACATATATTATCTATTTTTACATATACTTTACATACATTATCTCTTAAGTAACTTGCACTAGAACACATAACCAGTGAGTGCAGAGCTGAGGTTAACCAAGGAAGTCTGGTCATGAATCTATATATTCCTAACCCCTGAACCTCCACAGCACCCATCATGGTGATAGATCCCAATATTTGCCTCCTGATTTGGGGAGGAAGAAATTAACAGGAATCACTCTAAATATCTAGCATTTACTATAGGTTCAGAGAAACTCTAACATCATAAATTATCAAGAACTTGATCCAATCCCTATTTCCTTTTGTAGGCAAAACTGTGTCGTATGATGCTAAGGTTAGGTCTATATCCAATCTTTTCAGTAGAGTACTGATGTTTAGAAATCTAATCTTCCACAGAGACAGTTAAACTGAAGGACACCTATTTTGCCTCCAAATTCTGCTGACGAAGAAAGCTGGGTTTGGCCCAGTGTTTGTTGAAGCCAAGGCAATGCACTGATCACCATTCCAGCCAAATGGCTGTGGAATAAGATAGAACCAGCTTTGACTTCTATGCTTTTCCTGGCTGATGTCACCTCAGCACAGCTGGAGTCTTAGGGCAAGTCTTCTGTTTCTAACCTTGACCTCTGAACCCTCTATTCCTGTGCTCCCCTTGGCCCCTCCCTCAGGCCTCAAAGAGAAAAAGACTTCAGCATTTGTCCATCTTCCTCATCCATGGTGGGAGTGCCATTTTAGTGTGTGTGCTGTTTGTCAAGGGGATGTGATGTTTCTTGATTTCTCTTTCAATCCACCTCCTTGTTTTTCTAGAAAAACAAGGAGCTCCTACATTATTGGTCTTCTCCTTTGAACCATTGGACTTTTCCACCAAAGTGTTCATCTCTCTGGAAACATTTCAAGCAAGATAGAGCAAAATGAGCATCAGACTTCTAGCAGATACGATGCTAAAAGGATGTACTTCCAGAAAATGGTAAAATTACCTGCCTTTTTTGTGGTCCCCAAAGTGTAGGCTCTTTGGCATTCATATAACAATTCATCATCATATTTCACACATACTTTCTGAACTGGGAAGCACTAAAATACAAATGACCTGACATGGTCCCTATCCTCTGGGTAGATATGAAAATAGGTTGTGCTCTAGGTACCCAGTATGTGGCACAGGCCAACCTGGAGACCCTGAGGCACACTGAGTACCAAGACTGGGAATGTCTGATGCTACAGGACCCATGCAGAAAACTGTCCAATGGGCCAATTCTTAAGCACATTTTCTGAAACAGACTTCAGTATGCTTACTGAACTCCTAAATCAGAGCTGTTTGGGGATAGGCAGACACTCTAGGTACCCCACAATGCAAACTAATATTTCCTCGGCATCGTTTTGCTCTTGGGATCAAACAGTAATAAAGGGATGTCTTAGATACCCTGACGGCCCATCCCCCCCTTCTAGGAGGTAGCCATTTGTTACTTTTAAATGTGTTATCTTAAAGAATCTGAGGTTGAATTATCACTCAGATCAGGTGTTCTTATTACATAAGCCTTACAGAATTCCTAAAGCATGAAAACCACTAGATATCTAAAGGCAAAAAGCTATATTGTAATGTGCTTGCTGAGAGAATGTTTGACCATATTAGGGGTATCTATTGCACTAATTTTTGGTATTTATATGATAACTGGTATACCCTTACTTTATAAAATCAAACTTTTCATGGGCAGACAAATTTATTTGAATGAATATATATTTCACATGTCAGTGCTGATTCCCCACCTAGATTATATAAACCTCAAGGATGGGGACCGTGTCTTAATTTTCTTATATAAAACATGTTACAGTTCTATACCTGCAGAAGATACTCTATTAATGCTTATTAGTATTCACTGAAGATGCAATCTTTCAGAGATCAAATAATTTAAATCTTACCCAAGGTCTGTCTCTCATTATCTAAATCATTACTGAGATTGTCTAAGGAAAGGTTATCACTTATGTCACTGACATAGGAGTCATCCTCAGAAATCTATGGGAAAAGAAAAATACATTTGAGTAAGAATAAACAAACCAGATTTTCGTTAACCCTTTACTCCAAATCATCAAACATTTTGAATCCCATGTTAAAAACCTACAGAAATAATTTTGGATTACTTTCATAGAGGTCCAAACACCAGTCTGCCTGAAAGCCGTTCACGGCAAACACCTGTTATTAAAATTTTTATACTTTCTTGAGCAGTTATCACAAAGAAAACACTCAAGATCTTAGTTATTACAAAAAAATTCTTATTATTTCAGACTGCACTTTCAGAATTTGCTAGTGTTTGCACAGAATAATTATAATTTGTCTTTCAACTATTTGTGGGGGAAAAAAAGGATCTTCCATGGAAATTAAATAAGATTAGTACTTCTATATGAAAGGTGTAAAATTATCAATTCACATTTTCACAAAGCAATGCCAACTATGATACTTGCTTATTTAGGAAAGTATGATTTTTATGCATTAATATAAAACCGTATTATTATATATTATAAATTAATTATTATAATAGCCATATTAAAATAATTATAGTAAAATAATTGCATGTTATAAATTAATATTGGTCAAATTCAGTGATTAAAAAAATAAGATACTAATTTCCAACCCTGTAGTAGAAATATTACATTATGAAATAGCTAATAGTCAAAATCATTAGCCACTAATTGAAAAGAGGTATAACAAATCAAGAAACAGAAGTGAGGAAGTACCCAACACCTTCTACTTTTGCAACCTTTTCCCTGAGGTCTTGTATCTTTTCGTGTTCTCTGGGGGGGTGGGAGTTACAAGAAGATCCTCAGAATGCAACGGCAGAAAGAGCCCACTGAGTTTAGCACTTCTAAACAAATGAGTAAAGCAACAAAAGAGATTTTGAGGCATCTAACTGAAAACAGTGCTCAAACCTCATTTTCTGAAGAGCTTGGAGATAACAGAACTTCCTGTGCATCAAAAAACTCTGAAAGGGAGTCAGTGATGGAGAGTCTACTTTCATTGGAAAGCTGATGGACCAGAGCTCGGTTGTCATCTCTGGAGTTTTCCTATTTGAAACACAAACACAAAAATGCATATAATTAGAAACAGTCTCAAGAGAAGCAAAAATAAACAACTGATTTCGCTGCATGATACACAAGGTCACAGGCGCATGCAAACAAGCAGCTCAAAGCAGAGGTCAGCTCCAAAGTCAAGGAGAAGCAAGCCTCACACAAAACAAAATGAAAAACAAAAGTGTCCCCCACACGGACACCTCACTTTATAGGCACTATCACTGCTTAGGCACCTGCAACAAATCTCAAAGCAAAAAGAAACTGTCCAAGGTCAGTCTCGGTTCCAGTTAAGAGGGAGAAAATTCTAACACTCTCTGAATCATATCCTCTTATTCTCTACCACTGCAGGATGTTTCTTTTCATCCTAAAATTTCCTCTGAATTGTACTCAATGTATGTCCTTGCGTGGCTGATTTGCAGCCACAATGCCTTTTTCTGCCTCCACGCTTTCCCAGAAGCCAGTATGCTGTTCTCGCCGCGTCCCTTGACAAATACACGGCGTGTTTTGGTCCAGAAGTGCCCCTGGTGGCAGATCATTCATTATTCATGGATGAATGAGATAAATTCTCTTTGTCTCTCTCCAACCACAAATGACTCTGAGAGGGATGGAAACTCCCAATCCCCTTTATAAACCTCTCTACAAACAACATAATGGGGTATCATGATTTTTCCATCTTGCATGGCCCTCCCTTCCCTACTTCACTGGGTCTAAACTTCCCCACGGGGAAGGTCCTAAATACTTTGTTTGGAAATGTGCATTCTATTCAATTCGCAAGTGAAAATTTAATACAACTCAACAAATTGAGCAACTGCTTTATGCTGGCTTTGCAGAGATATAAGGATGCACTGGCCTGAAAGAGTGGCGCAAAGAATGCACTCAACACATGAGACCAAGACTGTAGAAGAGAGAGTACTACAGAAGGGAAGAGGAAGGTGAAGCTGATTCTATTTCGGGCTTTGGTTTGGAGGGAGAGGTGACACCTTGAGGAATGTTCCCCAGTCTAAATTCCTTCAATTCAGAGAAGATTGTTGCCCTGAACTTCCCTACAGTTCACAATTCTCACGGGGCTGATAAAGGAACAGCTTCTGCATCATACGTATGTCATAAAGGAGTCTCAGAATATTTGGAGAGCAAAAGTTACAGCAGATTATGTCTTTTCCAGAAGTTTTATGAGTTCAGGATACGCTCTTCAGTCTCAAAAACAAATTATATCCAAGATGGGGATGCGATAACAGAAGGACCATAGCAGATTTTTATAATTAGTAAAGGACAAGTGGTCCCTTTATGAAATGTTTACTTCAGGAACACATTTAAATGGGTACCCCTTCCTCTTGGATTCTTCCTACGTAAGACACCTGGTCATTCAAAGGTCTTACCCATTTTAATACCCATAAAGCCTTGTGAAAAGCAGGCTTCTTTTCTGCCCTGACAAAGAGACCACATTAGGCTCTATAAACAAGTGCCACAGCTGTCACCTTCAAGGGAAAGGAATGTCTCCTCAAAACAGGAGACACCATAGTGAATGACTGAGCTCCTTTAATGCTCACTGAAACAGCAGAATCTTCCTGTGTCTTTTGGTGTGTCACTGCCACATAAGACTCTAATGATTTATTTACTTGTTCTGTTCATTAATTCATTACTAGTCGCTCCTGCTCTCTATCTTCCTTCTCCTAGTTGGATGGATCAGAAGGATTTCTTGGCTCATCAACAATGAAAATAATATACCTAACGCTAGCCCCTTCTGACGGTCCACCTCCAGAAACATCCTATCAATACCCACTGAAAAAAAAAAACTCAATGGGGCTGCAGCAGCCCCAAGCCTCAGCATACTACCTTACACACACAGGACCGCACTTGTTACATATCAACCTGCTCGGTTCACTTCAACAATTTCCCCACGAGGTTGGAAGGCCTCCAAGGTTGTCTATCATTTTTTTTACATCAAGAAAAGATAAACAGAAAAAAAGGGAAGGAAGGGAACACTCATAATCCTATCACACTAAAACCACTATAAGCATTTTTTAAGGAAATATAAACTATTATTATTTTTTAAATTTTTTAAATTTTAATTTTTTAATTTACATCCAAATTAGTTAGCATATAGTTCAACAAT